GCCTTTTGGAAGAATTGAAGTTACTACCAAAACCCATAATCAAAACCAAGGACCAACCGCAGGAAGTTACTTACCCTTTAGCCCAAAGATTTACTCAAGAAAGTCCTTCAACCTTAAAACCACAAAGCATGGCAAACATGAATCTGGCCCAATTTCATGAAGCCCATAAAAAGGAGAAAAATTGTAAAACCCAATGGTATGAAGCAGAAACCCATGACGATAGCGGAAGATGGGAATGGTATGGAGCACGTTTTGGAACATACTCAATACGGGCTAATAAAGTTGAAGCCCAAAGCCAAACCAAAGCCCAAGGAAAAGAAATCATAGATCAGGCAAAAAGAGCCCAAAGGCCTAACAATTCCCTGTCAATCAACTGCATAACTGAAGAAGAGGAAAAGCCCATTTTCAGAAACAACCCGGTCCATGCATACAAGCCTAAAGGAGACTGGACTGGTGAATCACAAGACACGAATAAAAAACTAGGCCCATATGAAACTCACAAATATTATCGTACGGGCCTCGGATACGTAAGGGATGACGATTCCACAGGAGACAATAACAAAGAGGAAGAATGTAACTGTACCAGTTACATTCTTGAAGATGACGGATGGGATGACGCTATACTCCATACACTAGGCCTTCTTTCGAAGAGAACCAATATACGTGGAGCCAGATACTGTCGACTCTAAAAAGCAACGTGTTCGGACCACTTTACAGCTGTTTGTCTGTTTGTTTAAATTATTATCCTACTTTTCCTGGTTTGTCAAATTTTCTCTAGAAACCTGCCCCACCTCACAGCAGTCCTGAGAATTATTGAAGCCAGCTGTGAATAAGTTTGAATAATAGGTGGTCCAGCTACCTTATCGTGGGTTTTCTCTATAATTGAGTTGTCCACTTAAAATCTTGTATAAATAAGTGTGTTTATTTTCCGATAGAGAGGCATCGAAAAGCATATACACTTCTCTCTCTATCTCCCTTGTAAGAATCATATTGTGTGAAATATAAGTTGGAAGTTCTTAAACCTTTTTACAAAACGAAAAGTAAGAGTACATTACACGAATGGTCCCTGTGGTTTGGAGGAATTTGTATTTTTGGTCCCTAACTTATTTTTTTTAACTCAAATGGTTCCTACTATTTATTTTTGTTGCGCGTTTGGTCTCTGTCTTACCTAAAAAGACTATTGTGCCTTTATTAATTTATTTTTTAATTAATTTTCTTATTTATGTATTTATTTTTTATATATTTAAAAAAATTAATAGACCTCACATATCTGTATCTCCTCGGATGATCCCTACTGTTTATTTTTTAATTAATTTATTTTTTTAACTCGGATGATCCCTACTGTTTATTTTTGTTATGCATTTGGTCTCTGTCTTACCTAAAAAGACTATTGTGCCCTTATTAATTAATTTTTTTAATTAATTTTCTTATTTATGTATTTATTCTTTATATATTTAAAAAAATTAATAGACCCTACATGTCTGTATCTCCTCACTATCACATCTCTCATCCTCCTCAACTTCTATTTATTTTCCATCTTTAGTGATATCGACGTCTTCACCATCCCTTCTTTTTTCGGTCCTTCAACTTCGTCGAATTAACAACACAACCCAGTGAGCCTACTAAAGATGAAGAGACAGTGAGTTATGGTGTTGGTTCGCCAGAGTTGAAGGACCAAAAAAAGAAGCATGCTGAAGACGTTGATGTCACTAAAGATGGAAAAGAAATAGAAGTTGAGGAGGATGAGAGATAGGATGGTGACCGGTGAGACCCAAATTAAATTTCTCAAATGTGGTTTCAGGTTTACGGTGAGGAGATACAGATATGTGGAGTCTATTAATTTTTTTAAATATATAAAAAATAAATACATAAATAAGAAAATTAATTAAAAAATAAATTAATAAGGGCACAATACTCTTTTTAGGTAACACAGAGACCAAACGCGCAACAAAAATTAACAGTAGGGACCATTCGTATAATTTACTCTTACTTTTCGTTTTGTTCATATTTGGGTAACTACTTTTTTTGAACACATCTAGGTAACGAACTTGTTGAAAGTGTTCACATCTAGGATGTAACCTGCTACGGCAAGTTATAATGGTCATATGTGAACACTTCCAACAAGTTTGTTACCTAGATGTGTAAAAAAAAAAAGATAGTTACCCAGATGTGAACATACCGAAAAGTTAATTACCTTGATAAGTCATTTTCCCCTAATCATTAACCCTAAAACGCAAATTTGCTTATTGCTCTTTAGTTCTTTACTTAAAATCGTAAGTTCACTCCCAACTTAAGGACTACATTCTAAGCAATTTTGAAAATTTGAACTTTACTTGTAATTTTGAATAAATTATATTGATTAAATGATGTCGATAACATTGAATCGACTCCAAAGCAAGATCTATATCGAGATCTTAGGATCCTGACTATGATCATAAGATCTTACCCAATCCGATCTCCCCTCTTTATTTTGTATTCTATAGTCAAGTGTTAAACTTCTAATTTCTACTTAAAAGTCTTACGTGTAGCCTAACAAATTTCTCAGTCTAGCTTGAAATTAAGCATCAAGATGTCGTTTCAACCTGAAATTGAGCATTTCGTATCGCAGTAAAGGGCCGTTTGGCAGGATCTGAATCTTTAAGAGCTGAATTTTTAAGAGGTCTGAATTTTTAAGATCTGGATATTCAAATGTTGTTTGGTTGGAACCTCTGAATTGCAGTGCTGAATTATAAAAATGACCATTTTACCCTTCTATGTTATTTTTGTTGAATTTAACGTTGCTTTATAAAATAACCGAATCAACTTCTTGAATAATTATAAAAAAATTACAAACACCATATAAAATCCAGATTAAACATAAATCCAAATCAAACATAACACTATCATTTTTTGATTATACCCAAAGCTCATGCTTTCATTGCTTTGTGAAATCTTTTAAAACTATCACCATCGATAACAAATCTAATGTTAATGAACTCCCTAAGCTTGTGGATATGAAATCTTCTCCACTAATAGACATCACCTGTTCAAGATATAATATCATACTTTCATTTAGTGAATTCATAACATGCTAATATTCAGATTTCATCAAGGAAAACAACAAAGAATATGATTTCATTAGCAAAATATTATCATATTTAAGAAAAAAAACAAGCAAAGCATATGATTTCATTAACAACATTATCAAATTTCAAAGATCAACAACAGATGTCAATACCAATTAAGCACATAACAAGATTGACAGCATATTTTAGCAAATGAACAAAATCAACAACTTCTGTTAGCAACTAGGAACACGTTTTCAATAAAAAAAAATAGATCAACAACTAATAACACATTCTCAGTAATATATTTCACCAAATAAACACAAAATCAGAAATCAACCCATATATTTTCGAAATCAACACATTATCATAAATCAAAACTAAATATATTTTCGAAATCAACACATTATCATAAATCAAAACTGAACCAAAACTAAACTCAAAGTAAGGTTCTAGTTTGGTGGAACGACATAAATACACCTTCAAAAGATGCTCCGATTTCAGGAAAAAAAAAAGGAAAAAGACTCTGATTTTCAGAAAGAAAAAAAAAGCAACGATTCTATGATTCTCGGGTTACAGGGGAAACATACTCGATGGGTGAGTTCTTTTATACCTAATGCTCATAATATTATTACTATAACCCATATATGTATGAAGGCCCACCCAATTCAAAATAATGAAGATTTCAAAATCACTTCTGTACTTCTACTACTCATATTTATATTTAAATATTGTTACCCACTTTTATGATTTTAGATATTTAATTAAATTCATAATTTAATAATGAAGATTTCAAAATCACTTCTGTACTTCTACTACTCACATTTATATTTAAATATTGTTACCCACTTTTATGATTTTAGATATTTAATTAAATTCATAATTTAACTTAATGACTTGATAGATATCGATAATAATTCCTTTTTATTTGACTCTCTCTGTACCTACTTTTTATTATTTTTAATTTTAAATTAAATTCATAATTTAACTAATGATTATATGAGTATTGGTCTATATAATCATTTTTTTATTTTGGCATCCATTTTTGTTAGTTTCATTTTTGAAATAATTTTTTTTACCAGTAGTTGACTTAATGATTCTTTGTGCAAGTATATAATCACGAACGGTGTTAAGAAAATAGTTATTTAAATGCCTTATAAAATCTAAAAAAATTGTTTATTAAATAAAAAGTTTTTATATTTTTGTTGATTTTATAAATTTTAGGGCCTAATTTTAATAAATTTAAACATGGTCTTCAAAAACACAAGATCGGCTATGTTATTTGTATTTTAAAAGAAGAGCTTAAATTACAGACAACGTTATTAAATAGTAATCTACATTTTATTTACTACGATGTAAGCCCCCTTCATTGTAAATTTTTGGCTTCGCCCCTGCAAACAGGGCCTAAGTCTTATAGAAAATCACAACTTTTGTACATTCATCTCGAATTAGACAGAGCATTATATCATTCGTGTCGGTCCATTTGTGATCTTGTGCATTTAAGTGTACATGTGTACAATGATCTTGTTTCTTTTTCCACTTAAGATATTTGCTTCCTAATTCTTGCCTTTGCATCTACAAAATTTATAATTACTAATTAGGAAAATAAAGTTGATTTCATCAATCTTGTTGTAATCAATATCATATTGTAACAAGTGACCGTACAAAGATATATTGCAAATAAGTTTAAAAACTAGTTCATTTTGATAGGATCTTCCTATATTTGATTTACGTTCACAACCCTTATATGAAGTAAACTTATTTAAAAGTTTGAATATCCGAAATTGTATTTCCAAAATCATCTAAAAATCTGGTTTCTACGTTTTCGGGTAACTCTTGATGATGATCAAACAACATATCGCCCCTCTTTCTATACTTTGACATGCCCTCGTTCAGTCCATCTCCAGTCAGTCGTCTGCTATTTCAAAGTTTTCAACCATGAATTCCACAGGCCGAATGCTCCCACAAATTCAACACACCAATAAAACCACGTACACCTACAACACCATGATAAAAACTCATCTATCAAATTCCAACACAAACCCACAAATGGCGTTAGAGATTTATGTTAAAATGAAAAGAAATGGGATCAGTTGTGATAATTATACATACCCATTTGTCCTGAAGGCGTGTAAGATGATATGCGGACTGTGGGAAGGCAGGCAGGTTCATGGTGAAGTCATGAAAGCTGGGTTTTTTGATTCCGATGTGTTTGTGAGAAATGGGCTGATTGGAATGTATTGCAAGTGTCAGCAGATGAGTTGTTCCAGGATTTTGTTTGATTGTTTCCATGGAAAAGATTTGGTGTCATGGAATTTGATGTTAGGCGGGTATGCAGAGTGTCGTAATATGGTGGAAGCACAGAAGCTGTTCGATGAAATGCCTGAAAGAGATGTTGTTTCTTGGTCCATTATGATTGATGGGTACGGCAAGGTTTGCAAAAATTACATATAAATGTTGCTGTCAAATCATAACACATATTCATGTACTTCTTGATTTCTTAATTTCTTAATCTGCCTCTTGTGTCTTTCTGTTCTTTTAAGAAATTAGGCCTCGTAACTCACGCACGTATACTGTTCGACCAAATGCATGAACGAGACTCGGTTTCATGGAACACCATGATTGATTCATACGCCAAAATCGGCAACATGGTAGCAGCTCGGGAACTATTTAACCTAATGGATCACAAAACCCTAATTTCTTGGACCATTATGATCAATGGCTATTCACAACACCAAAATCCCAAAGAAGCATTAACCCTCTTTAATCTAATGCTTTCACACGACATAAAACCCGATAAATTTTGCATCATAGGTTCTATATCAGCATGTGCCCAATTGGGCGCACTCGATTCAGGACGGTGGCTTCATACATACATCAAAAAGACGAAAATACCCCTTGATGTCGTGGTAAACACAACCCTCATCGACATGTATATGAAATGTGGTGGCATTGAAGAGGCACGTGCGGTTTTCGATAGCATGTTGGAAAGAAACGTTATTACTTATAATGTTATGATTTCCGGACTTGGAATCAACAATTCCGGTGCCGAAGCTTTGAGTTATTTTTATCAAATGGAGCAAGGCGGAATGGAATTGGACGATTTGGTATACGTGAGTGTTTTATCAGCGTGTAGTCATGCGGGATTTGTATCTGAAGGTGTTGAAATTTTTAAAAGAATACGAAATCCAAAGGTTGAACACTACGGATGCTTAATCGATCTTCTTGTTCGAAAGGGCGAATTTGGAAAAGTGTTAAATTTTATCGGATCGATGCCGATGGAACCGAATGTAGATTTGTGGGGTTCGGTTCTTTTAGGGTGTAGGGTATGGAAGAATGTTGGTTTGGGTGAATTTGCGGTGGATCGGTTGACAGAGATTGGTGGGGATGATCGTGGGGTTTATGTTCTTATGTCGAATATTTATGCGGATAGTGGAATGTGGGATGGTGTGGCGGCGATGAGGAGGATTGTGGCGGTGAAAGGGGTGGTGGAGGGTGGAAAGAGTGTGATTGAGGTGGTTGGTGGTGGTGTTGAGGAGTTTGTTTCGGGTAAAAATGGTGGGGTTCGTGGGGCTGATATTGAAGAGGTTGTTTGTAGTTTATCTAAGATAGTGGATTTGGAATATGAGGGTTAAATAGAAGAATGTATTAAAGAGGTTATCAAAACCTTTTTTTTTTTTTTTTTACTTTGATAATTAAGTTTTAACACCCGTAAGTTTTGATGTAAATCGAGTGTAATATGTTTAAAGATTGATCTTAAGGCATAGACTTATGACTTTAAAATGTAGAGTTCAACAATTCTATGCTTCATGTTTTGTCATGGCAAGCAAGCTCCAGCTAGACATGTCGAGCTGCTTGCTTGTCGTGCCCACTCCCTAAACCATTCTATTTTTACAATCAAGACCATTGACTTTCTCCTGTTCCTACATTAGTCTTTATATTGTTAATTCTTCCACATTGGCTTGATGAAAACGTACATAGAATTTGAACTTAGCAAGTAACTAGAAAATCCAAAAAAATACAGCATACTTCATACACTCGGTTCAAGACCTTCAACTTTCTCTTATTCACATTCAGTCCCTACATTCTTGAATTCTTCAACATTTTTTTGATCAAAAACACTTTTTGTTTTGTTTAAATAGAAGCAAACTTCGACGCAAATTGCCTTCATCGTCATAAAATACAGCATTTACCTTGTACACCCTTTGTATTATTTACAATAAAAGACCCTCCAATTTCTCTTATTCATATTTACTCCCTATGTCCTTGAATTTGGTCATTTTCTTTATCTTTTATCCAAACAACACTTGACAACAAACAAAAGCAAACAAAAAAGGCATATTAAAAGTAATCTAAATCTAACATTAGAAGATAAAATTTACATTATACACCGAGTTGAAGACCTTCAACTTTCTCTTATTCACATTCAATCCCTACACTAAATCTCCCACATCAAAAATCACTTATTGCTTGTTCAAATAGAAGCAAAACCAAAAAGGAAATGCCCTCATCATCTTAAATACGATATCTACACTACACAACACACCCTTGTGATATTTACAACACAAAACCTCCAACTTTCTCTTCTTCACATTTAGCCCCTCTACTTCTCTCTTGATCAAAAACTAGGAGAATCACTCTCTTCATCCGAACTCGAATACCCCGATTGCCCATCTTTATTATACGGAAACAACTTATCACGTATATCCTTTGGCCCAAACGACCCTTCCATCGAAGCAGTCGCCGAATCCGACCGTTTTTTCTTCGCTTGGATAGCAGCCGTTTTCTTAATATCATTACAAACACTATCCAAAAGTAGCAAGAAATCACGCACAATAACAAACAACCTTAAACCTTCATCTTTCCTCGATGTCCCATGGAAATAATCACCCGTGCTCTTCACCACCGCCATTATCCTCTTCTCCTCTTCCAACAACCACCCGATCTCAGCTTCCGCCCGTTCCACAAACCCCGTGAGAAACACCTGAAATTCGGTATCTTCTTCCACATTTTTCATCTCATTATATAAAAAGTCTTTTGTTCTCCTTAACATATGCCCTAATTTCAAAACCGTTGATGTGAGGGTATCCCCGTCAATAAGTGCGGCTTTTTTTACGTCCTCAAGCTCCTCGCTTAGCTTGGAAACGACTTCGAAGCCGAATTTTCGGTAATTTTCGGGCGGTTCTTTACTTGGTTGTTGTGATTGTGAAGTGTCTTTGGATGAACTTTGGTTTGTCCGGGCTCTTCGGGCAGCTTTGGTTCCTTCTGACCGGATCATTTCTTGGACTACGAAGGATAGGAGTGTGGTTTTGCCATCTGTTCCTTTGACATCGGAGAGTTTTAAAAGGTTGTCGAGTTTGAACGCTTCGGCCCCACCACGATACGTACCCACATTCATACGGTTGCCTGTTTTAAGAACTGCTTCTAGAAGTTTCAGGAAGAGTCGGTTGTTTGTTAGCACTGTGCAAGCTACCTATAAAGATGAGTCGATGTTATGCCACCAAAAGGGTAGAATAGTCCATTCGAATGGAAAAAAAAAAGTTGTATGTACGGTAAGTTGCATTTGTCCCATTGACATCGGTCTCAGTCCAATGCATGTAAAACGCAGTACAACCTGTTTTGTCTTGTAGTGGGAAGGGGAAGTTGTAACAATACCTCTAAAGTCGCAAAGGATTCTTTAACGGAAGAATATTCTTCCGGAAGGGAAGCCATAAACATCAAAGCTTCAAGACGTTTGAATGCAAAAGGGATATCAACCAATGCTTTAAGGAACTTTTCTGAAGGGCCAAGAAGAGCAACATCGCCATTATATGTCCGAAGTTTTAGTTCTTCATCTTGAGTCGGTGCCATTTTCAACAAAGTTGAGATGAATTCTACTGGAAGCTCGTTACCTACACAAAAAGGCAACGTACTTTCATCATTTTATCAATTTAACCACTTAACTATTTTCTATAATTCTTTTTTCCGACCATTTTAGAAAAAGATTTTCAGGAGCTATTATTATTATAATAATGAAAAATATTATAGTTGTGTTTTTTTTTGCTCTTTTCCAAAACTCGGTAACAAAAAGAATTAAAAAAAAGTATAATGGCTTAATAAATCAGTAGAGAATTACCTTCCCTAACGGCATCAGAGACTTCTTGAGTTGTCACATTCAATGCTTTTAATAGAATGGCAAGATTCTGGGCTTTCTTGGGCTCAATAATTTGAACCAATTTGGGTTGAGATTGTAGGTTTGCTGGGGCTTTTCCATTCTCATTCTTGTTTTGAACACTCGAGGCACCAAACAGACTTTCCATCATTTCTTCATTGAACCTATACGTTCAAAAATTACTGTATTCAATATTGATGAAATGTGATTGCATGTTTCGTTTAAGAAACCAGTTTGTTTCATAAATTGTGAAAAATGTGACATAAATATGCATTTAACCCTTTAGCTTATCTGAATAATTAATAATTATAGGTAAGAGACTTACTGGAATGATCCGGATTTAATATCGTGCCAAACCATGGCTCTATTAGGGTTAGCATTCACTTTGTCCCAGAAAAACGGTTTTAACTTGGTTTTATTGGCATCTGAATCTTCACCATCATCATTTCCATCTTTGGGTATTGGAGCAGGTGGGGGTGGCTTTTTCTTTGGTGGATTAGGGACATTAGGAGGCTTTGGAGGTGGTGGGGGTGGTGTTTCTTTCGAGGCTAGAGGTGAAGGTGGTGGTGGTGGTGGTGGTGGCGGTGGTGGAGGTGTTGGAGGTGATTGAGGTGGTAGAGGAGTGGTTAGTACAGGTGGAAGTGGGAATGATCCAACTTCTGATTCTTCATCTTCAGGAACGGAAGCACCATTGGTGGACAAATTGTGATTTGTCTCTTTTGTACTTTTGAGTTTCTTGGATTTCAGAGAAAGACCTGTAAAACAAAAGGTTAAATGCAATGTCATCCAAATAAATACAAAGCAAATTTCACAGCTATAATAAGAAAAGAAATTGAAAGTATGATGCTATAAGCAATTGAGTAAGTACCACTAGCAAGATTCCTCCTTCCCTCCCCTCTTCCATCATTATTAGCTCCCCTTCTCCGCTTCTTCAGTCTAAGAAAGCAAACCAAAAACAATGAGAAAATAGCAAATGCCGCCACTGTGGTTGAAGTTGCAGCAATTATCAGCAACTTCCGCTCCTTGCTATCATCCTCCGGCGACAAATCCGGCGGCCTTCTGGCTTTTTCCGGTGAAAAATTGGATGAAGGCTCTCGAAAAGGTTCACGTTCAGGTAAAGGTTTAGGTTTTGGAAATGGTTTACGGGTTGGTGTTGGAGGTGAGGCCCCACCAGGACTCGATGGGGCCCTGCCTGGAGTTGGTGGGGCCCTGTCAGGAGGCAGTGGGGCCCCATCCCCATCAGGAGTCAGGGCCCCATCTCCATCTGGAGATGGGGCCATGGTAGGAGTAGGAGCATTGGGGGAAGCTGGAGATAGACCTGGCGATGGATCCGGTGGCCATGGAGGGCGGCGGCGCCTCCGCCGCCGCCGCCGCGGTGGTCTTTTCCGGCGACGGCCCTTTGGTTTGAGGATTCGAGCATTTGGTCTATGGAAAGATTGATTTAGTATTGGAGGGTGGTTAAGAATGGCTTTATGTTGTATAAGAGTTTTTCTTATTGATGTTGCATCAGAGTTTGTGATATAGTTTGTTGGCTTTGGTAAATTAAGGGCAAAATACTGAATAGCTTGTGTAATTTGTTTGAACTGTTTTCTACAAAATAATGAAACTTGATCTTCCTGTAGAGATAATAATACACAAGTGAAATGGGTTATACTGCAATTTTCTTTTTTATTTAATATCATAAAATAGTGCATACTCTGCTCATAATTCCTGGGCCATTCACTGCTGGCATTACCCTCTCTTGAATCCAAGGTCGACTCTTTGAGTTGACTCATTGAACAAGCAAGACATAATGAAAGAAATATGGTTTTTTTCAAGAATTTGTAGTGTTTTGACACATTGAAATTCTATGAATCAGAATCCTAATGCATAAAGTATAATGAAAAAAAATCTTTGAAGTTGTTTAATTAATGAAACTAAGATTTGCTTGGCATCAATCGATAATGGAATGAAACCTTCAAGTAACTAAAGCATTAAACATATATTAAGGAAGTTAAAACGCAATAATGATCGAATGTATAAAATTGAACAAAGCAAAGAAGAATCATACCTTATTTTCGTCTATATCATGAGCCCTCCAATGGACTCCATGGCCGTGGGAAGATTTGTCTGGAAATCTGCGACCTTCACAAACACCTGCCTCCAACACGACGAAAAGAGCTACAATAATACCTAAATTTCTTGCGTCCATTGGATTCTTAATCTACTTTTCGGTTCCATAATTCTACCCTTCTCATTTCATCGAGATTGGCTGCATAAAATCACCCCATCTTAACCCTAAATCCGTATAATCGAAGCTCTAATTCACCAAATTTTCAACGGAAACGACATTGTTTCAGCTGCAGTCTCCAATCGAAATCCTCCATTTCTCAACAAAATTTGGTGGTTTTTTCGTGATGTTGGTTTCATAATGCAACCTTAGAAAATAACCCGCGAGTCCTTTTGCCTTCACCATACCATGATTCAGATTTCAGAGATTCACAAATCTCCCGGAGATTTCTTCGTCAATTTAGAATCGGAATGCAGTACCGACACAACCTGGGAAAACACTCGGACGTACAAAATTGCAAATAAAATCGATCTATGAAGCCCTAACAAGCACGGAAAAATGAATTTGTTTTACAAATTCCAAAAGGAACTGATTGCAAACAGTTCAATGCTTAAGCAGAGAGTCCACAGAAATTATAAATCAGAATGTACGTAAAATTTTGATAAAATCATTGCGATGATAAGATTCGAAACGAAATGCAGAAACACTCGTTTTTGGTGTTTGTTAGAATTTTTTGCTGTTGGGGAAACTTTTTGGGGTGGAAGGGACGTGGCATATAGCAAAGGGGCTTGATAATTGAATCAACAGATGTTCGCGCCTACAACTTGTAGAGTACATGTTCTTTTTTGGATGAAATATATAAAATTGTCCTTCTGGTTTATAGAAAATACAGATTTAGTCCCTAACTATTTTTTTTGGCATAGATGGTCTATGTGGTTTCAGTTACTTGCGTAGTTAGTCTTATGATTTCATTTTGTTATAAATTTGGTATGAAATAACTATTTTATGCCTAGTTCCTAAGTTTTATAAAAATTATAGATTATGTGACACCCCAATTTCTTTTTCCAAAACTTTTTCAATGTTATGGTTATAAAAATATTCAAGTATTAACCCATATTTAATAAAAACCGATCTCACAAACATTTACAATTAAAACTTTGGATGTTACCATTAAGCATCATATAAACCATAGTAAGCAAATATGAATTACATTAATACCATTAATAAAGAACTTGATAAGCTCCACTACATTCTCTATCAGTGGCGAATCTAGAACAAAAAATCACGTGGTTCCTAAATTAAGCGAAGCCAATAAAAAAAATCAATAACACTTTTGGGGGTCGGTCGGGTCATGTACCTTAAAAGAACTGAACCGATTCAATCGATTAAAAACGATCAAGCGCCACCGATTAAAAAATTTTAAAAACCGATTGAAATATAACTGAAAAACTTGTACGGTTTAACGAAAAACTAGTTGATTATTAGTCCATTGATAAAGCGGCGAACGGAGAGTGAGAGTCTTTCACATGTGGGCTTCTTTTTATTATAGCAACTTATTTATTTATTAAAATTTTGAGAGTGCCGATTAAGAGTGGTTAACTTTTTGTTATCAATCTCATAATTTAAAATAACAAATTGCCCTTAATAACTTATATTTTTCTCTTTTTAAAATGATTTTTTAAGAAAAAAATTTAAAAAACAAACTCAAAGTAGGTCCTTTATTTTTTCTAAGGTAGTTCCTAGTTTTTCTACTATATACATTGTAAATGAAATTGAGAACTTAGGTAGGTCCTAGGACCTACCTAAGCCCTTGGTGGATACGCCCATGTTCTCTATTTTTTAACTTCAAATTTTCATCTATCATCTTTACTCCATCAGTACAACCTGGGACACATGACATTAAAAAGAGATACGTAAGATAATAATGTCTTGTGAGATACTCGGTTTTGTGACCCAAAACATTTATCACATTTTCATCAAAAAACATTTCATTATGCAAACATATTTCGAATAGACATTTTCCACATTCCACTCCACATCACAATATTTCATTAGACATAACATATATCAAGAGACATTTCTTTTCTCATTTCATTCCCTTCTTTCATTAAGGATTTACTCCTTTTAGCAGTGGATCAGGTTGTTCGGTGGCTGCATCGTACATCTCAAGTGGCTCAGAATAAACCTCTTTTTAGTGTATATTTCCATAATATGAGATTGTGCTTTTGGTTCAGGATTCTTGAGTGGTAACCTCTCATTCACAAGTTAAGTCAATTGACCCAATTGAGTCTCAATATTCGTTATCTCCACTTGCTAATTTCTTATCGTAGCATCAGTCACATCATGTCGTTTCTCAAAAACAGCTGCAAAGCGTGCAAGCATCGACTCGAACTTGGATTTGTTATCAGACGGTGGTTGTTCTTTTTGATAAAACCCTCTACCGATTTGTCTATACTTCTATTCCTTTTTCTTCTTGTATTCATCGTAAGGCAATCACTCCTTCTTTGGTTTCCTCCACTCCTCATCGTATCTGTCCCCACTTGAGTAACATACTTGGGATTTTCGGTTCCCATTCTAATCTAGATCACAATCTTTGGTCAAGTGTGACCCATTGCAATTGTCGCATTCAACTCATATGGCATGTATGGATTGATCCATCTTCGTCATTCGTTGATCCATATTCTCGAGTTTAGCCATTATTGCAGCCAAGTTTTCGTTTCCTCCTTCTCAAGTACCTTTACCTCTTATAATATCTTATCGCGGTTTATGGTATTCTCTTGAGTGCTTCGCAAATTCTTCAATTAACTCTTTGATTGTGTCCGGATTCTTCTTAGTTTGTAGTCCTTGAGAGTCAATAAGTTGCCTCGTTGTCACGTTCACCCCATCATAGAAAATAGACACCATTTGCTGAACGTTCAAGTCATGTTGAGGACAATTTCTAAGCAGACCTTTGTACCTCTCCCACGCTTCGTATAAGGACTCTCCTATCTGTTGTTCGCGGACTCTCCCATCTGTTGTTCGAATTTGGCTATATTTTTCTTCAATTTTGCAACCTTGGATGGTGGACTAAATTGTTGGATGAACTATTCACGAAGTTGAACCCATGTAGTGATAGCGCCAGATGGGAGTGCCTTTAGCCAATCTTTTTCCGCTCCTCTAAAAGTTACTGGAAGCATCCACAACAACGCCGTTGCACAAGGTTTATTATGAATATTGAAATAGTTGGCAATGTCGTTGACCTTGTCAATATGATTGTAAGCATCTCTGTGATTTTTCCCGTAGAATGGGATATCTTTTAGCATGGCCAAAATGCGCCCCTTGAGTTCAAAATTTCCGGTTGCTGGAATTTCAGGTGGTACAAGACCCGGCCCGTTTTCGTTACACATTCGCTTCTTATATTTTTTCATCGTCATATTTGTTATGCCTGCCATCTCTTTTACTTCACTCTTTATGTCGCCCTCTGAATTCTTCTCGGTTTTTGGCTCATTTCCTACTTCATTCTTCCTTGGATTCTTCTCATAGTGCTTAAATGTGTCAAATTGGAAAGTGATGCTTAACTCGTTGACCTTTTTGTTCTTCTTCTTGTGGAAAGCCGATTTTAGATCTTTAAGTGCTGGAACTAATGGAGCTTTGGATCCTCGAGTCATAAATCACTGAAACAAAAACAAAATAAAGACAAAACGTGTAAAACGAATAAAAATAAATAACATAAAAGTTGTATGTTTAGTGACCACGACGTGGCTATTGAACAAACGAAAAAATTAAATTACTGTAGAAAAAAAATAACTATTTCTAGTTTTTTTACCCCACAAAAAGGATCGAATAACTAAAAGTAATTAAACTGAAAATCAAATAAGTCATTCTCCGGAAATGACACCAAAAACTTGATGTGCACAAAAGTATACCTATTAACTTTTAAATTTATAAACCTAACTAACTAACTAATTTATGCACCTATAGGCAATGTACCTAGTCAGATTATAGACTAATCTAGGTATGTCGGGTGTCAAACACAGGGAACGAAATTTAATTAATAGAGCAACTACTAAAAGTTAAACTAAGAAACAAACTTTTAATGGGGATTTTACTAATTTTGCAAGATCAGAAGAACTTAAATCAAACAACTACCAAATAACACTAAACAAGCAAAGAAGACGATTTTTACTTCAGTATTAAATAGTACTTTTGTTTAGTTTTGATTTCCCCCCTCTTCTGTGGTTGATTTCTAGTCGATGGATTATATTAATTACCATTTCTTTAAAATACAAGTTATTATTATCAAATACATAGATGTATCAATTTATGAATTACCATGCAATGATCAAGCACAAGTTAAACACCAAATTGATATAAGCATGAATTGGACTATGATTGATAAATCGATAAATTACCTATCCTAGATAAAGACAAGCAATTCAAAAACAAATTAATGATCAATTATGGCTCTCTAACAAAGTTAAAGATATTAACTTTTAATTACTTAACCCTAGGATTTGATTAATCATTAGCTCTAATTATTTAATGATCATAAACAATTATGTAACAAATTCATGCAACTAGAATGATAATCTATCACACAAAAATTGATTAATAAGAAATAAAATATAAAACTTCAACATGCTAGGATTTTGATTATTAAACACAAGTAAAATTAACATAAAACATCCATTAATTCGAAATCAACACATAAGATTCGAGTTCATCTTCACCAAACATAAGTATGGGGTGATTAGCCTATAACTAAAACATAAACAAACAGGAAATCAAAGTTAACTAGAAAAGACATGGTAAAATCTAGCAAACCGAATGATTCAATGTTGATCTTCCTTCAATTATCTTCAAAGCTTGAGTGAAAAATGAAATATGCACTTTTGATGGTTTTCTAAGGGTTTTCAGTCGTAATCCTTAGCTTAATCCTCCGGCCTCTTCTAGGATTCGACCTAATGTCCAGTTTAGATAGATTCCAAAATTATGGCTACCACATTGGGAATATATGCCACGTCGTGGGCAAAACTTAAAACGCGTATGCCCTAAGTAATGGGAACCTTTTTTTCGCATTCTATCATCTCGTTACAATTCCGCTTTCGCATCTGATCGCAACGATACTTGGATTTCGCATCAGATCACAATGACTCATGTCG